ATCCCAATAGCAATGTTGTATGCAAAGAGCCATAAAAGCACTGTTTGCCAAACTAACCACCTATCTTCTCCCAAAAGCGATTTTGTATGCAAAGATCCATAAAACACTGTATGACATCCTTACCTTCTATTTTCTCCCAATAGCAATATTGCTTGCACAGATCCATAAAACATAGTACCACATACTAAGTAACTATTTTCTCCCAATAGCAATGTGTACAGAAACGTCTAGATAATTATGAAAACACACACTTGTTTGATGTATTGAATATCTTTTATTTACTAGTATTCCCCTTGTAAGCAAAATCAGTGTACAAACAATTCTTTGTAAAACATTTTGAAAAAAGACATTGCACTCTATTTGTTATATTGTCAACATGCACATGTTTACATGAGACAGGAACAGCATAGGGGCGGGGGGCGGACCTTGCTGACCGCATTAAGCATTTGTATGACACAGGAACAGCATAGGGCGGTCCTTGCCAACCTAAAGCATTTACATGACACAGGAACAGCACAGGGCGGACCTTGCCGACCGTAAAGCATTTATATGACACAGGAACAGCATAGGGGCGGACCTTGCCAACCTAAAGCATTTACATGACACAGGAACAGCATAGGGGCGGACCTTGCCAACCTAAAGCATTTACATGACACAGGAACAGCATAGAGGCGGACCTTGCTGACCTAAAGCATTTACATGACACAGGACACAGGAAACCTAAAGCATTTACATGACACAGGAACAGCGGACCTTGCCAACCTAAAGCATTTACATGACACAGGAACAGCATAGGGGCGGTCCTTGCCAACCTAAAGCATTTACATGACACAGGAACAGCATAGGGCGGACCTTGCTGACCTAAAGCATTTACATGATACAGGAACAGCATAGGGGCGGACCTTGCTGACCTAAAGCATTTACATGATACAGGAACAGCATAGGGGCGGTCCTTGCCAACCTAAAGCATTTACATGACACAGGAACAGCATAGGGGCGGACCTTGCCAACCTAAAGCATTTACATGACACAGGAACAGCATAGGGGGCGGACCTTGCTGACCTAAAGCATTTACATGATACAGGAACAGCATAGGGGGCGGTCCTTGCCAACCTAAAGCATTTACATGACACAGGAACAGCATAGGGGCGGTCCTTGCCAACCTAAAGCATTTACATGACACAGGAACAGCATAGGGGCGGACCTTGCTGACCTAAAGCATTTACATGACACAGGAACAGCATAGAGGACCTTGCCAACCTAAAGCACAGTAATTCCTGTAGATGGAAGTTCTTCCATCACTGAATTCCACAAACAATATATTCTTCATCATTGACACCTGTTTTCAGTTATTCAAAGGATGAAATTTGGCTTATTTCCCATGATTCTGACAGATATTTCCTGGTTTATTTTGTCAATTCCAAGTTTTGAAAATACTTCATGTTATACCTTGTGCTCTCAATGAATAAGCATCAATTCCAGGACCTAGAAGACATTAGCAAGTGTAGAGCCTAGTGAATTATGTGATACACTATGAACGCCTGTTGAACCTGTTTAATCACAACACCCAACTTTCAAACAGGAAGAAACAAATTGTCAAGCCCAAGTAATATTTGAGTACAATGGGCCTCGAAGGAAATACTTTATGATTCGTTTATACGCTTAAGTCCAATCATTTCTTCACCTTTAACTTAACCCCTTTGCCCATGTTTCATTCTTTTTGTTAACTAATGACATGTAAATCTCCCTGGATATTCATGTTAAAATATGGCAATAAAACTTTATCAATAGTTTTCAAAATCAGACGTTAAGACTTTTTCAACCTAAATCAATATAAGGTCAGATTGAGATGTGAGATTCTACATTGAGTTTCCAGATGAAACAGAATGGCTGACTCATGCTAAAAATATATCATAATTGACTTGGACAGAGTTGATGAACATAGAAATGGTTTGGGATGAAAATCAGAACCAACAACCTACCATAAGTTCAGTGTGTTATCACGACTGACAATATGGTCACACTGAAAGCACACATAAAATACATCCTAAATTAGCCACTGTAAAGTCTCCATTCAATTTTGCTACTATCAGCTGCCTATTCACCACAATAATGTTTGTTGGAAAACATGACTCCTCCAACAGACATCTCAAATTACTCATAAATATGAATTCTGAGAAAAGATAGGAGTGACTGTGAGATCCCTTCCAAAATGAGTGAGTGAGTATAGTTTTATGCCGTTCTTAGCAATATTCCTGCAATGTCATGGCAGAGGGGACACCGAAATGGGCTTCACACACTGTATCCATGTGGGGAATCAAACCCAGGCCTTCGGCGTGATGAGCAAATGCTTTAACCACTAGACTACCTCACCGCCCCTTCCAAAATGAGACATTGGAGGTGAGGCTAAGAGTACTATGGCGACATACACAGTACAACCAGTCAATTACAATTCAGGTATTTTTCCTACGGTATTTGACAACAATATAGGTCAGCAAAAGAAAATTCTTCATGGTAAGTAACATAAGGGAAAAAAATTAAAGATAAAGTTATGAACCCTATTAAAAAATCACATGATCTAGATAATAGCAAGATCAAGTTCACAACAGTCATTAATTGTTTCATTTCCTGTCAGTCTATTGTAAAAAACATGCAATTAGTCACACTATCAATTATTTGAGGCTACTTTATGATATAAATATATACAGTGGAAACCGTTTAAGTAAAGACCGCTTTAACTAAACAGACCTGATAAGTAAACACTTTTCTTTGGTCCCGGCAACTTTCTTCATTAATTATCACTATTACAGTCAGTTAACTAAACTCGGATAAGTAAACAATACCGCTTTAACTAAACGTCTTCTCGCGGTCCCTGGAAGAAAATTCCTTAACAAAAGAGCCTGGATAACTAAATTAGCGATCACCACATAATCCGACATGAGGGGCAGTCGTGTCAGTCTCCAGTCAAACAAACATCCTACTTACAGCTCGCTGGCGTCATGAAGTTGACAATACACTGACAAATGGAGGCCAGCCCTGATAAGTTGTTCATTGTTACATATGTATACATATACATGCATATGGTTGTCATTTGCAGGTTTTGATGAGTTTGGATAAGTAAAATACCTGATAAGTAAACAATTTTGGCGAGTCCCTTGAGATTTTACTTATCAGGTTCCCACTGTATATTATTTCACGAATGACATGAAAAATTCTGAAATGGTGATAACTGTTACAGTTAGTTGTGAGAAAACACTTCTTTGATTCCCTTCTGCCGCGTTATATAAAAAACACGATCGCGTGGCTGTGAACGGCTGGACTTATCTGTGAATAGCTAATTAATTATCATAATTTATTTGTTTAATTAATTTAACTAACAGCGAGTAAATTTGTAAATAACGTTAAAATATGGCGATAACTGTTCGGCAACCAGTATAGCTTATCCTTACTTTCTCTACTGCAGATTTGGTCTACACACAATACAAACTAGATAGTCAGTGGTTTCAAATCTCAATAACAGCCTTCTGCCTGAAACAGCCAATTTGATGCCTGCATCGACATGCATGAGTCTCCAAGGAAATGTGTAAGTTATCAAAATAAATGTCTATTTTTCCTAATTAATCAGATGATCTATAACAAAGCATATTGATAAAACTTTCCTTTTATCATGATTAGACTTGCACAAGTCTCTATGGTAATAATGAATAGTTTAAATGATAATTTCTAAAAAACATTACAAATAACACACTGGGGTTTTGTACTGTCCCCTTATCTAGACTTGCCTCTTTAAAGGATAGAATTACTATGCATACAAGGGTTTAGCACTCAGTACAGCCTTGGAGCATGCTACATCCGCGATCTATGTCATTTCAACGGAGATTCAGAGCTTTAAAATCTACAATTAACAGCAGTAAACATTCTGTGATATAAATGAATTTCAGTGTTGCCATACTTTACAGGTACTGTTCACATACATAGCGAGAAACTTCAGCATCACAAAACACAAATCTGCGTCACTAACAACATTCGACTTTACACCGACACCAACTAGTTATTGTCACCTATGATACATTCCACACAAACTGATCCATCTTTAAACCTTTAGGAGCTTTACTCAGGTGGTCCCATAAACTGTCACCAATTACCTGTTCAGAGTTACCTGGTCTACATGCTAGGTCTTGACCACTTCCCTTTCATACTACACTGAAGAGCTGATACACCAGAAATACATTGCAAAGTGCCTTTTTAAAAAACACACACACACACCATATACTCACTCAACCCTATTTTAAGACTGACTGACTGACTGAGTTTAGTTTTACGCGCTTTTAGCAATATTCCAGCAATATCACGGGCGGGGACACCAGAAATGGGCTTAACACATTGTGCCCATGTGGGGAATCGAACCGGATCCTCATGGACGAAATAACGCTTTAACCACTAGGCTACCCCACCGCCCCTATTTTATGAAGCGCAAAGGGACAAGGATAGACTAACAACTAGTCTCTGAAATGAACATATTTTACAGAAAACAAGTTCATAGTAAAAAAATGAAATATAATGAAAAGGAGCCCCGAGACTTTCCTAAGCTGTGAAAATCTAAACTTGCCACATTTTCTAGACTTGCGTGGGCTTTCTTGGCTATATTTGTTTCAGGATCTGTATGACAGACTACTGATTCGAGACATTAAGAATCAATACACGTAGTCATGCGGTAAACAGTACTGACGTGACACACAGACATGCATGTGCGCGCACAGATCTTTCCGTCACGGATAACAGGATCATTTTCAATGGAAATCTATAGGAATGGTTTGAAAATTCTCCGTCCGGGTGCGAAGCGCAGGGTCAAGCTAAGCTTGAAAGTACAATTACTGAAGGTAAGTTTCATTTCACCTAAAAATCGTCTGGAAGGCAGGGTTTCCGGATATAAGGGGTCCGAGTAAATGGGGTTTGACTGTATTTGCTTCAAGGTCTGTAGAACAGACGAGGACAAGATAAGAGCGTGATGAGTTGTACCACCAAGAGAACAGTATTAAAGTTACTTCTGATGGACAAGAGCATTTCACACAGCCAACATGATAGAGAAACTAGTCACATGGCCAGCAGAACCCAAATATAGACTGAGGAAAAAAAAGAAGGGATCACTTGAAAGCACAAGTGTTCCTTTATTTTTCCCCAGGTTTCTTCACAAGCTTTGTATCGCGTAGCTTGTGAAGAAACCTGGAAAAAAATAAGGGAACACTAGTGCTTTCATGTGATCCCATATTGTTTTCCTTCAGTATATTTCTCTGAGAACAATTCAACATTCATCCAACATTGAACCATTCTGTCACATTCATAATGTCTATCATTATATCATGAGTGAGTGAGTGAATTTAGTTTTACGCCGCTTTTAGCAATATTCCAGCAATATCACGGCGGGGGACACCAGAAATGGGCTTCACACATTGTACCCATGTGGGGAATCGAACCCGGGTCTTTGGCGTGACGAGCGAACGCGTTAACCACTATAGTACCCCACCGCCCCCAATATATCATGAGTCTTGTTAGCATACATTATACCGGGTATGTACAAAAGGACACAACCAAAACCCTCATAAAGTAGAAACATTCTAATACTGAAACAAAAAGAATAATTCTTTGAGGGTGTATCTGGTCAATCTATTCACAATTAAATCTTGTTGGCTTCAATCATATTCTGCCCATATAGGATTGTTTACTGTTGTCAAAGTAATGACTTTGGAACAGGCAAATATAAAACGCTGGTGCTAAAGAATACTATGGATGCCTTCAAGGGCCATTCGTTTTCTTAATTTTTTCTTAAAATTTCAATATGATATGAATCTTGAAAATCAACTTAGCATCTTGAAATGTCAAGAAAAAGAGGAAAAAGAACCTGCATGGCCCTAAAAGGCTTCCGTACAATACCCAACCTTGACCATCCTCTGGCACAGATTCCATTTCATGTAAAGGACAAAATAGCTGTGAAAATCATATGACTGGACAAAATCATATCTAGTATGTTTAAGTAAATTAGTAAACACATGGTAAAGTTAAGAACCTATTTTCAAGGTACACAATAAAACATTTTATGATGGGTAGTTTTAGGTTTAAATTATATGCACAAAATATTGAAAGACTTGTCTATACATACGGAAGCCTTTTAGGGCCATTTGTTTTGTTTCTTTTCTTGAAGATGGGAAACACAGTAAAAATATATACAGTCTGATAGTTTGGTCAGAAGCCTACAGACATCTTGTCTGATGACTAGAACTCCAGGCTGTGTTTATCTGGAGAGACAAGGATAGAAAACTTTGGATTCCATCTCGAACGCCAAATGTTTTTGTGGAAATGATTCCCATGGCCATCAGACTGAGGCACCACACTGTTAATATCACACACTGTCATCTGTATCACACATCACATCATGCAAGGACAGAGTTACAAGGTCACTCAGAAAGCTACGCCAAACAGAAAGCCACCAGCAAAGGACCCAGCAAGCAAGACATTCTGCTGCAAAAATGTCTTTGCCTGAAATATACAAAAGAACATTTATATTATCGTATGTTATATTTGGGATAACACTTTCTTAGTAAAGTACAGATTCCAGTACTTTTGGGGGGATTGAATCCCATGTGGGATTTGAACCAACGCCCTCAGAGTCAGGCACCTAATCGCCAGCACACAAAGTCAGACGCCTAGACCGCTCAGCCAACGCGGCTTCCACAAAAATGGAAGTCGGACAACTGGTACTCTAGACTGCGGACCTTGTGTACCCCTCTGATATAAGTGTTAATCGGCACAGCTCCCACGGCCAAAAGCTATGAAATACACAATGCCATTTTAGAAAGTGGTCAAATGTAACATATGTTATATTTGGGATTACACTTTCTTAGTAAAGTACAGATTCTAGTACTTTTGGGGGGGATTGAGTCCCATCCGGGATTTGAACCCACACCCTCAGAGTCAGGCACCTAATCAGAGGGGTACACAAGGTCTGCAGTCTAGACTACCAGTTGTCAGACTTCCATTTTTGTGGAAGCCGCGGTGTCTGAATTTGTGTGCTGGCGATTAGGTGCCTGTCCGGATATGACTCAAAACCACCCCCACCCCATAAAAAGTACTAGAATCTGTACTTTACTAAGAAAGTGTAATCCCAAATATAACATACGTTACATTTGACCACTTTCTAAAAATGGTATTGTGTATTTCATGTATATTATCAGCGAAACATTTTATTAAAAATATTAGATGGGTATAGTCGGTTTCATTCAAAAGCGGATAGATGAATCAGAATCTTACTGGAAACTAATAAACATATAATGCTCAATGATCATAATCAAAACATCAGACCAACTCTGTGAGTTCTTAGCAGAATTTATGTCCTACATATATAAAAGTTGGTTAAAGGTCATATGCAACATAAAACATAACTTTGCAGATTCTGATACCTTTCGATATGGACTTGCAGTAACAAATGATCAAAAATGCAAAAAAAGTTATAAAGTTGAAAAATAACGCGATGAAACCCCCCCGCGAAATCTGAGTTCAAACCATTCACTAAATTCCCCCCCAGCTGGGGTAGAAAAGTAGTTTCAACAGCTGTGCTGCGCTGCACTTTTTCGCCGCTTTTGCACTATTCCAGCAATATCACGGCAGAGGACACCAGGCATGGGCTTCACAGTGTGCCAAATGGTATCTCACAGCGGGAGACATCAGGCATGGGCTTCACAGTGTCACAAATGGTATATCACGGCAGAGGACACCAGGCATGGGCTTCACAGTGTGCCCAATGGTATCTCACAGCGGGAGACATCAGGTATGAGCTTCACATTGTGCTCAACGGTATATCACGGCAGAGGACACCAGGCATGGGCTTCACAGTGTGCCCAATGGTATCTCAGAGGAAACCAGGCGGCTTTACAGTGTGGAGACACCAGGCATGGGCATGGGCTTCACAGTGTGCCAAATGGTATATATGGCGAGAGGACACCAGGCATGGAGCTTCACAGTGCATGGCAGAGGACACCAGGCATGAGCTTCACAGTGTGCCCAATGGTATCTCACTGCAGAGGACACCAGGCATGGGCTTCACAGTGTGCCCAATGGTATATCATGGCAGAGGACACCAGGCATGGGCTTCACAGTGTGCCCAATGGTATCTCACTGCAGAGGACACCAGGCATGGGCTTCACAGTGTGCCAATGGTATATCATGGCAGAGGACACCAGGCATGGGCTTCACAGTGTGCCCAAGCTTCACAGGCATGGGTCACAGTGTGCCAATGGTATATCACTGCAGAGGACACCAGGCATGGGCTTCACAGTGTGCCCAATGGTATATCACGGCAGTGGAGGACACCAGGCATGGGCTTCACAGTGTGCCCAATGGTAGGACACCAGGCATGGACTTCACAGTGGCCCATGGGCTTCACAGTGTGCCCAATGGTATATCACTGCAGAGGACACCAGGCATGGGCTGGGCTTGTGTGTGCCCAATGGTATCTCACGGCAGAGGGACACCAGGCATGGGCTTCACAGTGTGCCCAATGGTATATCACTGCAGAGGACACCAGGCATGGGCTTCACAGTGTGCCCAATGGTATATCACTGCAGAGGACACCAGGCATGGGCTTCACAGTGTGCCCAATGGTATATCACTGCAGAGGACACCAATGGCTAGTGTCAATGGTATATCACTGCAGAGGACACCAGGCATGGGCTTCACAGTGTGTGCCCAATGGACACCAGGCATATCTTCACAGTGGTCCAGAGGACACCAGGCATGGGCTTCACAGTGTGCCCAATGGTATATCACGGCAGAGGACACCAGGCATGAGCTTCACAGTGAGCCCAATGGTATATCTGGGCAAAAGTGTTGTCGTTGGTTAATTGTTTTACGCCGCACTCAGCAATAAATTGAGCTATATGGTGGCGGTCTGTATTTAATCCAGTCTTGACCAGACAATCTTGTTATCAACAACATGACCATTGATCTACACAATTTGGATGCGATGGCACATGTCAAAAAAGCCCAACCACCTGATCTTGTTAGTCGCCTCTTAAAAGCATGGGTTGCTGAAGACCAATTCTAACCCGGATCTTCACAGGTGGCAAAAGTATCCTTTGCTCCACTATACATGTGGGTAGAATGAACTGCATTTCTTAACTACATGTCGTACAGTCTGCACCGAAACTTTAAGAAACACACAGGTCACAGGTATCAACAAACATATCCGGTTGTACGTCAAAGAACCTCAACGTGGGCATCCCCTGGGCATCAGCTTGTCTTCAATACTGGTAAACAAGTATGTGAGTGTGACCACCCTTGAACATCAACTCCATGCAATATATCAATGAACATGTTGAGTCATCTACAAGTCTTATATTACACGTCAACACCCACAAAACTTTCAATGCCGAGAGGAGGGAGTCTGCTCATGCTATGACAATTATCTTACATTTTGTAAAATCCCAGGATACCGCTTGTTGGCTTCTTTATGTAGTTCTTTCTTGGCACGATTCACACCTTGTTCAACTTTGTTCCAGTTGACACGGATATAGCCTTGATGTTGAGCAAGCTGTAAAACAGTTAGGGAAACACGGATCAGAACGTGTGAATGTCTGTGCATGCCACAGTCCGTAACGTAGAACTGCAGCATCATCAGAACATTCCAGGATATCAATTTAACATACAATGGATAGCTTTCCCGACAAGATAAAGTCAACAGATATTTTCAGTATCTGTTGGGGTCATATATGGATATTGAGGCACATTAGAGAGGTCATATGCGGATTTTTCACAGTGTAAACAAACATGGCATCACATGGTACTGTCAGTGCAATGATCCAAGAAAATTCATGTCTTTTAATGATAGATGGAGTGAGTGAGTGAGTTTAGTTTTACGCCACACTCAGCAAAATTCCAGCTATATGACGGCGGTCTGTAAATAATCAAGTCTGGACCACACAATCCAGTGATCAACAGCATGAGCATCAATCTAGGCAATTGGGATACGATGACATGTGTCAACCAAGTCAGTGAGCCTGACCATCCGATCCCGTTAGTCGCCTCCTACAACAAACATGGGTTGCTGAAGAGCAATTCTAATCCCGACCTTCACTGGTTGAGAGATGGAGTGGATTATGAAGAGAATTCATAGGCTTACAAAGATATCAATAGCAGTTCCATGACTGACTGTCAGTGTGAGCAAGCACACGGTACAGTCACTTGAGAGATCAGTAGAAAATTGTGTCACCAAGCTTGTGTATTATTTCGCACATATTTGTGACATAATAGATATCTATGCAAATTCCACTAAGTTTAGTTACAACTAACATAATTTGTGGCAATTGAAAACTCATTTTCTTTAGTTTATAAAGTAAGAATGCTGTTGTATGATAGTGAGTGAGTGAGTGAGGTTAGTTTTACGCTGCACTTAGCAATATTCCAGCTATACTAAGTCAAAAAAGAAACTTCACATTCTTTCTTCAGGGCACTATAAGAGAACAAGAGATGCCAAGATGGTTAAATTGTTATTATTTCATTGCTGAGATCTGTGTGATGTACTCGATACACTGACAGTGCCATAATCAGTTCCATTAGGCTACACCGCCGTTCCAAAACATGGGTATACAGAATGTCAAGTCACAAGAACAAAAATGCGAAATTTCTCAGTTCAATATCGTGTATGGCCGCCCCGCGCATTCACCACTGCCAAACACCGTCTCCTCATCGACTGCCTGATGCTTGTGAACACGTGGTTGGGGATTCTGCGCCATTGCTCTTGCAAGGCAGCGCCAAGTTCCTGCAAATTCTGAGGTTGGTTCCTAAGACCACGAAGCCTTTTCCCAAGTGCATCCCAAACGTGCTCTATTGGATTAAGGTCAGGGGACCTCGATGGCCAGTCCATGACGTTGATTCCAGCGTTTTGAAGGAAATTTCGTGTCAACATTGCGGTATGCGGCCGAGCATTATCATGTTGGAACTGTAGACCTGGGCCATGAGCCGCCATGAAAGGAACGAGTTCAGGGCTGAGCACCTGGTCGCGGTAAGCAGTAGCTGTAAGGTTTCCACGGATGACCAGAAGCTGTGAACGGTTGTTCCCACAGAAAGCACCCCACACCATGCAACTTCCGCCCCCAAATCTGTCGACTTCCTGTACACAACATTGGGCATACCGTTCACGACGTCGTCTCCAGACTCTATACCTGCCTTCCGCGAATCTGAGGGTAAACCTGGATTCATCGCTAAAGACGACTCGATTCCAGTCTCTCTGGGTCCATCGGAGGTGGCAGTAGATGTTGACGTTGATGAAACGGCGTCAATATTGGCCCACGATATGGACGTCGAGAATGGAGATTGGCAGCCCGCAGCCGATTTCGAATGGTCTGTGAGGACAGTCGACCTCTAAACATTTGAGCCCAGGTTCGTGTAGCCGGCAGAAATCTGTCACGTAGGTGACGGTCTTCTGCTTGTGATGTCACACGTGGACGACCCGACCTTGGGCGATCAGAAGTGGTGCCAGTTTTTTTGTAGACGACCTCGCAAGTCATACACAGTGCGACGGCTGCATCCCATTGCTTTTGCGATGTCAATAACTGATCTTCCCGCTTGCAACATGCCAACGGCACTTTCACGTTGCACATTTGACAATCGTGGCATTTCAAGTACCATTAGAACTGTGGTTTAAAAGTGTTTTTTCAATTCTTGAGGCCAATGCAAACACGTGCATATGAAGAAAACTTCGATGCGAAGATCACATGATCGACTGCAAGTGCAAAACCTGATTTGGCACTAACGTCATTTGCATGACGAATGAATGGGTTTGAGTGGGTTTTGCTAACGTTTTTCTAGAGTCGAAAGATAGGGATCCTATTTCGGATACATAGATGTATAATCAGAGAAAAATTATTCATTATTTTTCAAATTACATTTTGTGAAGTTTCTTTTTTGACTCAGTATATATGGTGGCGTTCTGGTTATATGATACATAGGTTTTCGCACTCACATGTTTTGTGATGGTTAATATCCCCCATTAGGTTCCAAAACACTAAAAGGTCACGGATTCGATCCCTGTCGCGTCATACCAAAAGACGTTAAAACATGGTACTTGTTGGTCCCCGCCTGGCTCTCGGCATTAATGGGTACAACAAGGACTGGTCGGCTCGGAATCAGTATAATGTGTCTGAGTGGGGTATTCATGCTTCACTGCGGCATGGTATCTCAGTGGGCTTGCACTATAACACCAGCTTAAGTCTGGGCTAGTACAAACAGCCGCACATACACATACACACGCATGCGCCATATGAGCGAAATATTCTCAAGCACGACAAGGACTGGACGGCTCGGAATCAGTATAATGTGTCTGAGTGGGGTATTCATGCTTCACTGAGGCATGGTATCTCAGTGGGCTTGCACTATAACACCAGCTTAAGTCTGGGCTAGTACAAACAGCTGCACATACACATACACACGCATGCGCCATATGAGCGAAATATTCTCAAGCACGACGTTAAACCCAATTTCACCTCACCTCACCTCCACTACACTAAATCAGAATCACATGCTCCGTGAGCGAGTAGCGAGTAGCGTATGTAAACAACTGAAGAGACAAAGACATGTGACAGCTGTGATTAGATGAAATAATGTTTCTTAACAGCACATCCATCCAGTAATTAAAACTGATCACAATTGTGTTAAGTATTTAGTGCTTTCGTTTTTATCACCATGACTTATGCTTAATCTTTGTACAGATATTTTCAAGTAGGTGACATTTGGTGTGGAACTGGGGATGATATGTTCAGCTTCCTGTGCTCAGAAAATTGGCAGGATAAGTTAGCCAGAATTTGTGTTTTTATCGTAGTTCAAAGGCCAGACTGTACCCATGTGTACATGGAATGGCTGTTGGCAGCATGGATGGGTTTTTTTAAAAATATAACGTTACTAATACTACAGAAATATCTGGGAAAACATTTGGTGTTGTGTAACCAATAAAAAAACACACAAAGTCTTTAGCTCAATGTTTATTCCTAATGCAGGACAAAACACACAAGTGTGATAACCTATATTTATCTGGACCAGTGAGCATTACATTACACAGCATGAAACACATTGTTAATACCTCAGTTTGTTAATACTGGATTTTCATATTTCAATGTAAATGTACTAATGCACTGACCTTCATGTCCTGTCCTAATGTCTCAGTAATAATGCACTTAGCTTCATGTCCTGTCCTCAAGTGTCAGTAATAATCCTAGAGTTATAGGGATAATTTGAAATCCTATTTCATTTTAATGTTCCTTTTCCTGTTTTTATCTCCATTCGCAGTCCTACTTTTTATTGTGTTGTGATTCCATACCATTCCACTGAACCATGTGCTCTGATCCATGATTCCAAATGTGAACCTTGTTCGATGTACTGTGTGTGAAAGTGCTGTAATTTAATGGCTGTCAAACTGAATCAAAACGAATAGTGCCTGAATCAAAACGAACATGTACTTTACCACAAAAAACCTACAATAAGATATCCCTGTGATTTTAGTTACTTGTTGCCAGATATCTGGTCGAAGCCAACAGGATGTAATGTCCATGTCGTGTTACTATGGTTACCTGTACAAGCAGAATGGTTGTCCCGAGTGATGCAGCTGCCATTTTTCCAACTTTGATAAACAGGAACCCCGCAAACCTACAAAAATCACACTTCTGCTTTTAGTCATGTGGATGTGCTACTTTTAGCTAGTGAGTGGAGACCCATGAAGGTCCGGGTTAGAACTGATCTTCAGTAACCCATGCTTGTCGTTAGAGGCGATTAATGGGATCAGGTGGTCAGGCTCGCTGACTTGGTTGACACATGTCATCGGTTCCCAATTGCGCAGATCAATGCTCATGCTGTTGATCACTGGATTGTCTGATCCAGACTTGATTATTTACACAATGCCGCCATATAGCTGGAATATTGCTGAGTGCAGCATAAAACTAAACTCACTCACCTACTCACTTGTAGAAAACATGCTATATGGGCATTATATGGACGTCCAAATGTGGGATAAATGTCACTGGATATTGTTTAAGCATCGTGTTGATTAAAATAACAAATTAATCCACTCTATTAAGAAAGAGCCTGGTTCGATTCCCCACAACACCTTATATATACAAACATTTAATATACACAAGCGTTTACCACCCATATAATGCATTATCTGTCTTTTTTTATATTAAAACATGGTTCTGCAAGCTGAATTAAAGTGAAATTAGACATCTGGATGAAAAAATCTGTCAAAACTGATAGTCAAAAGAAAAAGATAATATTTTTGTAAAAACAGCAGTGGACATCTTGAAAAATGGATTTTTGAGAGGCCAATGTTATATTCTGAACTGGGAACCTATGGTGAGCAATTATGCAGATTTTGGTGCTTGTATCACAAAGTGAACAAATCGGACTATTTTGGCCTGTTTCCACCCTACTATTTACATTTTATTGTGTGTTACAGAAATGAAAATTCAAATAATGCATTTTAACAAACTAAGATGGCAATATTAGAATGCAAAGCAGATTATTTGAGTAATTTGTTTTATTCTTTTGCTGTTTAATGCCACACTCAGCAACCTTCCAGCTATATAGGGAAGATCTGTAATAATCAATTATGGACCAGATGATCCAGTGATCAACAGCATGAACACCGATCTGCGGAATGGGCCTCTGATGACATGGGTTCTAACCTGGATTTCACAGTTATAATTTAATTATGTAAAATAGACCATCTTTAAGTCAAGTTCATTCAGGATTATAAAAATCATAGATACTTAAGATTGGTCTGGACCAAAAGTAAGTTTAGTTTAAAGCTGACAACAAACATATACCATAATCACTTTGTGTAATTGGATGATGTTTGTAGAGAAAGATGATTTTAAGATCTTGAAGATTTAAAACAACATGTTATGAAATATTTTTGTCTATGTTATAGAATGATGTTTTTGAATAACATTTCACTAACATTTCACTAACATTTCAAATCGTGATGAGACATTGGTATAATGTTATGGAAACGTTTACACAAAAATATTTATAAAAAAAATTTCAGCCTTATGAATTTGTTTTGAAAATGTTATGCATTAGCTGGGTTTATACACGTGGGACCAGGAAACAAGTGATTGAACAAATTTCGGTTAGGCTAGTATATCAGACACAAGCCCATAGTTCAACTTGGATATGAAACATGACTAAATGACTAAATATTTTCCTGTACGATTCCATTCTTGATAAACATGTAAGTGTAAAATGTACAACAGTATTCAAATATTTAGCATTAATTTAGCACAACCATATTTTGAAAGACATGATACTACAGAAAAGTTAGGGTATAACCCAGAGGCCCAGATAAGTTTCGTATCCGGGTAAAATAACCATACAAAATTTCCAATTACGCATTGAAAAATAATTGTTGCGTACCAATTACGCATTTAAAATGTTAGATGCGTAAAATGTTTAAAACAAATGCATACGGAATATATTTAGAAAAGCTAGGGTATAGCCGTCAATTTAATCAACCTGTAGTTAAAGAAACCTTATCCACTGACAGTTTTACAAATACCATAACCTTTCCTATTCTTTGTGAAAGAATATGTTGATGAAAATGTGATGGGACTGAACTTTTACCCCAAAATGTAATTTTCTGAATAAAATTGATATTTTATACATTATCCTGACTCATGTATATTTGCTTGTCTCCCTCTTCCCGCGAACGTTAGTGGAACACTTGAATCGCCTTTTGAAGCTCCCTTAAAAAAAGCAGACGTAAAAGCCCCACTCACCAAGAGTTATGTCCCTCGCCGTTTTGGCGGGAAAATGGCGCCACCCGTCTTCCCACTCTTCACTCTCTCCGAATTGCAAGCCCGACACATAGATTTGCTCAGAAATCCAAAATGCCTGAGGGGAGGTTGGGAGGGCTTACCTCATGAGTCAGGAAAAGTATAAAATATCAATTTTATTCAGAAAATTACATATTTATCCTCATCCTGACTCATGTATTTTTGCTTGTAGAATCCAAGGGATTTGGTGGTGGGAAAAGCCACTTCTGGATTTCAATTTGGTGATTTACGTCTTGCATACCCCCCTATAGGAAATTCCTGGTAGCACTTTAAATTTTACTGCTAGGCTCTGTTGCTGTAACCCTTACTTCAAGCTTTCTGTGATTGGGGGACCACAATTGTCAACTTTGGTCCTTTCTTCTGTTAACATTATTTGTGGATTTTAACAACTCCATCTCCTGATGCATGCATCAAGTGGAAAAGTGGCCCTTTTTATGTACGAGTACGTCCTTACAAGTACTGGGTCTTATCACTTATGCTAGTCCGTCTTAGACGTTCATGTGGACTCTAAAGCTCTAACTCTCCTGAGTGTTGGCTTTTACAAGTCATGTGATAAAAGGGCGAGACTCTGTCTCAGCGCCTGTGTGGAACTGTCAGTTGTTGTGCTACAACAAGTGGGCCGAAATGGTTAATGCCGGAGACGTCTGCGGTGGCGATGTCTCTCAGGTAGTGGTTGGCAAACACCATGTCCGATTTCCAGAAGCAGCCCTCCATTATCGTAGTGATGGAGTAGTTTCCATGTAGAGCGAGTGTTGACGCCAGTGCTCTAACTTCATGTGGATTGGAGGCTCGTGGAGGATCAAGTCCTGCTGCTCTGTAGGCCCGTAAAATGACAGTTCTCATCCATATTGATATCGTAGTGCGAGAGATCTCCGTCTGTGTCTCTGCCGATATAGGGATGCTTGAATTTTCGTCTCCTGGTTTTAGACCTTTGTAGGTAGACTTTAAAAGCTCTTACTGGGCATAAGGATAAATCCTGTGTATCCTGAGGCCCAAGGACTGATGATAACGCTGGGATGCGGAATTGTCTGTCCGGTTGACCCGGTAGTTGATTCTTTGCTATAAAATCCCATCTTAGTCCCATGTGTACGATGTTTTGATTTTCATCAAATTGCGTCCTTTCAAAGTCTAGTGCATGTATTTCCGACATTCTTGCTGCTGTTGCTAAGGCAATCAAAAATAGCGTTTTCTGCATCAAGAACTCAAAAGATGTCCTATCTAATGATTCGTAAGCGTCACTGGTGAGATGCTGTAGAACTATATTGAGGTCCCTCGCCGGCGCTCTAAATCTTTGTTGTTTGTCCTCCAATTTAAAAGAGCGTAGTAAGGCCAGTAACTCTGGTACCTTAGTCAGTTTTACACTCGTCCTCATAGTGATAACTGAGCTTAATGCCGCTAGGTATGTTGAGAGTGTTGAACCTTTCAACCACTTCATTTGTCTTAGGTGACAAAGGTAGTCCGCTACTTGAGGGTGTGTCGCTTTCATGGCTGTAAAACCTTTTTTCAAGGCGTAGGTCTCAAAGCTTCGCCACTTGTCATTGTACAAGTTGCGGGTTGATTTGCGTAATGCTAGCGTAACCGCTTTAGCTGGCCTGGCGGAATATCCTCTTTTATTCAAGCACGCCTTAATAAGGTCAACGCGTGTAGGCGGAATACTTTGGGGTTTCCGCGTGCTTGTACTAGCAAGTTCGTCCACTCTGGTAGTTGCAGTTGAGGAGGTCCTAGTTCTTGTATGAGAATGGGAAACCATATTCTCGCTGGTCAGCAAGGCGCGATCAAAATCAGTTGCAGGTTCTTCGTCTGTAAGATTTTCTGCAACACTTGTGGTATTAGAGCTGGTGGTGGGAATGCATAAGCGTTAAGTCCTTCCCAAGAGATGCTTAGAGCATCTGTTGCCCATGCTCGTGGATCTGGTATTGGCGAGACGAATGTTACCAGTTGACTGTTGAATCTTGTGACAAACAAGTCTATTAGTGGAGTTCCTATCTCCTGTATGGTCTGTTTGAAGACCTCTGGGTGTAGCATCCATTCTGTTGGGGATGGTTGGGCTGGACGAGATAGTGCGTCTGCTATCACATTCTTGGCTCCTGGAATGTGGCATGTTTTTATGTAGATGTTCAGATCGTCTGTTATGCTGAACAGTTGAAAGCAAAGGTTTAGAAGGTTCGCCAACCTTGTCGATCCTTGTTTGTTTATGTAAAACGCCACTGTGGAGTTGTCTGTGTGGACCGTCAGATGAGCATTTTTTTAGAATGCTGGTCCAGTGAAGTATGGCGTTTATCACTGCTTTCATTTCTAGCATGTTGATATGCAGATCTTTCTCTTGTAGTGTCCATTTCCCAGCTGACACTTCGTTGTCGAGGTGTGCTCCCCATCCCTGTAGAGATGCGTCCACATAGAGATGAGTCTTGCACTCCGGCTCTGCTAAATAGGTGCCTCCGCAAACATTCGAGCTCTGAGTCCACCATAATAGATATGGTTTTAGTTTGTCCAGGAGTCCGAGGGGTCCGGATCGTCCATATGCGAATTTACGAAGACCTGTAGCAGGCGTAGTTGTAATCTCCCTCTGCGCATCATATCCTCTGCTGACGTGAGGAGACCCAACAGACTCTGCCACTGTCGGAGTGGCCACGGAGAGAGTAGGGCTTGAGATATCATCTGTTGTATCTTAAGCCAACGGTCCTCTGGTACTGTTATGCGGTTTTCTGTTGTGATGAGCCAAATTCCTAGGAACTGCAGGTCCTGTGTAGGTTCTAGTTCCCGACTTGAGGAGATTCACTAGCCACCCTAGTTGAGTGAGAAGCTTGATGGTAAAATTCAGCTGTAGTCTGAGATGATTGGGATCTTGATGAGCCTGAATCCCACTGTCTAGGTAGAACGCACTGTGTAGACCTCGATGATGTAGGTATGTGACTATGGGCTTTGTCAGTCTCGTAAACAACCAGGGGGCTGATGATATTCCAAATGGAAGGACTTTCCATTGGTAGTGTCGTCCGTCTAGTAGGAATCTGAGGTACTTCCTTGATTCCGGATGTATAGGAATGTGCAGGTATGTGTCCTGTAAATCTATGCTGGCCATGTGGTCTGATGGACGGACAAGATGTAATAGTTGAGGCAGATGAATCATTTTGAATTTCGCTGGTTTGCGTAGATAATCTCTGTTGAATGTCCTCATGTTGTAAATTAGTCGGAATTTTTCTTTGGAGTTTTTCTTTGGTACGTAGAAAACTGGGGAGTAGAATCCTAGTGAGATCTGGTCCTGATCTAACACCTCTATAGCATCCTTCTCTAGTAGAGATGTTACCGCCTCTCGTAGTTTCTCTATCTGATGAGTCGCAAGGTTTAATCCTTGAGGCGCGTCTGTTAATGGAGGGGCTGCTTGTAGTTGAATTTGATATCCTTCTCGTAGAATGCTGGATACAAATTGGTCTTGAAGAATTCCCCAATTCTCCCATGAATGTTGCAGACGTCCACTCACTTGGGAAGGCTGTATGGGAACGACTGGGGGTGGAAGACTCCAGTCGTTCCGAACCCGTCTTTCATCATCTAGAGCCTCTGGCACCTCTGGGTGCCCTGCCTCGTCCGGATCGTCCTCTATAGTTCTTGGATCGGCGACGAAAAGAATCCTTCCCTCCTTTGGAGGTCCCTATTTTCTTTTCTCTTGCTCTTTGGATGCCTGCACATTTAGATTTGCCAGAGTAGCGTTGGGACGTCAGCCTGATGACACTGGCTAGTATATCAATGGACTTAATCCTCATGACTTCCCTGGATTCCTTTGTGACTTCCTTGGCAACGTCGTCGATCTTCCCTGCGAAGATAGATGTTGTAGACCATGGAGCTCTGTACAGAGTTTTAGTGAATTGTTCACTCCAGTTACACGAAGACAATAGTCCCTGTTTTCTGGCGAGCGTCAATGCTGCTGATATGGATGCCAAATGCTCTGACATAAATTGGTGGTCCTTTTCCTGAGTTAGTAATGCAGAATAAATCATCCTGTCTTCCTCTGCAGTAGAGTTCTTAAACTTGGTGATGAGCGTCTCATTAATTGCCCTTGATCTGTTAAGTCCAAAGAACATCCTTCTGGTCATGGTGTCTATCTGTGCCAGCTTTTTGTCATCAATCTTGTAAGATTTGGTTCGTGAGTCGTTGATGATTTTATAGTTCTCATCTATATCAGGTGCCTTCATAAAGGGGTAAATATTATGAAGTGAGAACTTCTTTGCGTTGAAGTGTGGAATATTTGGAGACTGGAACTTTGTTGCCTTCCTGAAGGCTGCGTCAAGGTCCTCAGGTACGTCCGAGACCGGGTCAATTGGTGGTAGGGTGATCGTGTCTACCTCATCGTCCTTCATTGGGTACGTGAATGCTTCATTCTCTTCTTTAGAGGGTGATGCTAGGTCCAGTCCATTTGCCATCCAAAATTTTACTTCTGAGTCTCAAAATTTGATTCCGCCATCGTCCTCTGTATCTTGTTTAGTTGGATCTCGTTGAGTATCCTCCCTGCATGGAGATCTGCGTGGCGATCTCTGTGGATATGAGTACGTAGAAGTATATGTAGTTCTAGGCGGAGATCTGTAAGGCGACCTGCGTGGAGGTGAGCGTCTACGTGTCCGGGGTTGCCTTCGCGAAGGTAAAATATTCCTGTGCGATGAATCCCGTGACGACCTGCGTGGTGATGGTGACATCCTTGATCTATCTGACGACCTTCATGCAGGTAAAATATTTCTGTGCGGTGAATCACGTGAGAACCTGCGAGGTGATGGTGACATTCTTGATCTATCTGACGACCTTCGCGCAGGTGAGAGATCTAGTTGAAGGTCTGAGTCCTGAGACATCTCTCTGTATGTTCTTGAAGGTGTAAGCTTCTTCCTCTGTGATGCAGGTGGCCTGCGTGAAGGCTCTTCATTAGCCTCATCATCAGATGACGATCTATTCCGGTCAGATGAATGTCCCATCCTTTGCGCAGGTTCGTTGCCATCATGCAGGGTAGGTCTGCTCTTAGTCCTAGAGCTAGAACTTCTTGTAGATATCTCAGATGCACCACCGGTGCGGGGTCCTTCGTGCAGCACTGCTCCCTCTTGTTGGTTGATGACTTGACTATGAGAGGCGGCTGCCTGACCATCATGCAAGGTCTTTTCCTGCGCGAAGCGCTTCTCCATCAGGTCCATCATCTGTTGGGAGAATTGCTGCATGAAGGTCCCGGGGTTGAATGTCTACGATGATTGTAGAGATGACGCATCTGATAGGGAAGCAATATGGTCCAGGGATCGCTGTACGTCATGGGTACCTGCTGCCAGTGTAGAGGGTAACTCAGACTGCGTTGATAATGTTGCTGACATTACCGGTGCTGAGGCCTGCGTCTTCTTATTATGCAGAATCTCTGGGATGAGGATAGGCGGTTCTTCATATAAGCCTATTTCTTCCATCGGGACGATCTCGGCCGAGAAAGTCCTAGTAGTCTGCGATGAGCCCCCAGTAGATCTCGTTGAAGCCTTAGTAGTATAAGGCTTTTTCTGCGACTAAGATGACCTCTTCTTCTTCGTATGGGTTTAGGAGTTGTCCGATGTAGAAGATCTTTTCTTCGACGTAATGGCGGACTTCATCCCACGCCCATCTTCCGAAGACGCCTCCGGCAGGTCACTGGATGGTAGTATGTCGTCTGACAACGACAAACAGCTCTTTAGGGACTCAGCCGGTTTAGCCATGACTTGTAACACTGACTGACTGACTGAGTTTGGTTTTATGCCGCTTTTAGCAATATTCCAGCAACATCACGGTGGGGGACACCAGAAATGGGCTTCACACATTGTACCCATGTGGGGATTCGAACCCGGGTCTTCGGCGTGACAAGCTAATGCTTTAACCACTAGGCTACCCCACCGGCCCCATGACTTGTAACAGCCGTCTAAGTACAGAAAAATAATAATTATTGAATTCCAAATTTGTTAAATGTTGACACAAATTACAGCGAGAGCTGGAAGTACATGTTGTTGTGCAACTAGGGCACAATAAATGCGGGTCTGCAGCAGAGAACCTAAACCTGCAATGAAAACAGGTTTTCATGAAATGTAAACAAACTGAACAATCACGTGAAAACGCAACTAAACAGTTAAATTTGCTAATAAATTTTAAACCATAATGTAGAAGGATACTCCCTGAAACCTTATAAAGGTAACTGATAGGGTAATAACTAAGTTAGAAAAGGATATAGTGCCGTGTTGGAGACCCAGGTGCTCTCCCAACCGTCCACTAGGGCGAAAAAGGAGAGAGTGAAGAGTGGGAAGACGGGTGGCGCTGTTTCCCGCTAAAACGGCAAGGGACGTAACTCTTGGTGAATTGTGCTTTTACGTCTGCTTTTTTGAAGGGAGCTTCAAAAAAGGAGATTCAAGGTGTTCCACTAATGTTGGCGGGAAGAGGGAGACAAGCAAAAATACAAGAGTCAGGATAAGGAAAAATGAACTATTTCTCTCCTGCCCAACTACACAATTAAATTAAGTTTTGACTAAAACTAACAATTCTGTTATTATATACCACGATGACATTTACACATCAAGTAAGCTTTAATTATGCATAATCAGGAAGAACCTGAATGTCAAAGATTCAGACCTTATTCCAACAATTCAGATTGCTAATTGACAAAAAACCGAAAACGGACATATTTATGTGATTTTGAGTTTATTGTAATGAATAAACACTTCTCCTTGCCGGATACTGATAATTACAGCTAAAATCTGTTTGTTTTGTTTGTAAAGCAACTTTTACTTCATTTTAAAAAAATTCTTATTTTTAGTTTGACTTTTCCTAAATCTTAGTTTAACTTTCATCCATTCACAATAAATAACGAATTTATAGGTCACACAACAATCAATTATTACTTTCAGTTTTCAAAATATGGTAACTTGTTTTAGGACAAAAAACCCTACCTGCTCTAAATATAGGAAATTATCCTAATTAAAGTACATGGTAATTTCAATGATGTCTTCATTTTTTGAAACGTTAAATGCTTGCTCTATCAAATTATAAGGTTATTTTTTGGAAAGAGTTTAGAATTTCATTTCAGACAAAATTAATTGGTAACAATAAAGGGTGGTGCTTAATTTATGCACAGATGTATATATTCATAAAAAAAAATTAATCTGTCGAGCATCACTGTTTCAAGATGTCATCACATTCCCGGGTTACGCCATATCTGCCTAACAACAGTTTATTACGGAAGCCTTTCAGGGCCATGAATTTCTTTAAATTTTTTATTGAAATTTCAATATGCTGAGCAAAAATATCAAGATACTAAGTTGAAATTTCGAGATACATATTAAGTTGAAATTTCAAGAAACTGATCTTGAGATTTCAAAATAAGAAAGGCTTCCGTAGTTTACAAAGATCGTTTCAGAAAATGACTTTAACATTTGAAACATTAATGCTGGCCCAGCTGAATTATTTGTGCATGACCTGCAAATGTAGATACATGTCTGTCTCCCAATCGGGACAACTTACCATCCTCCTGCTGCTCCAACAACTACTTGCTTCGCTGCCGACTGTTTAGTGATGTCACCGAACATCTTTTGCACCCAATCTTTGTTTCGGTATTCAGACAGGTCCAGAATTTCATATTCCTCTGATGGTTCGCCCATGTTAACTTGAACCTTTTCCTGTAAAATCAACACTATTGATTTGAAACAAGGCTGGAACCAAATCCTGGCTTTATGCAAGGCACAAATGTGCGTCCAGTTTGCACAAATGTTGAGACTGGATGTAGAAAATCCAAAATACTGCGTCTGGATAGACGCACACAAAAACACCAAGAATGTACCTACAGAGCATCAGGAGTACCGTATATTACCGTAGATAAGCCGACCCCCTAACTTGACCCTTAAAATCAGTGTCAAAGTGGTATGTTTCGTGCATAAGCTGACCCCACGCGACGGGGTCCTAATTGCAGCAAACTCAACCGACCAAATACAACTGGCAGTTACTGATAATTACAACTTCGGTCCGCGTTATTCAAAGAATTCACAACCATATTGTGTCAACTCACGCCTTGAAATGAAGTGTAGTTGACAGAAAAAGGATTATATATTCTGTTTCGCTAAATATCATACTCATTGTAGCTGGACGATCACATGTCAACAAACTGACTTGCTTATTTTACCCCATTCCATGTGCGTGTACAACTTCCACTTACCATGTTCGTGAGGGTACGTTTACCCCATTCCATGTGCATACAACTTCCGCTTACCATGTTCGTGAGGGTACGTTTTTCCTTGCAACCGAGCACCAATTTCACATATTATCAACAATCACAAACTAATTACTGCCTCGTTATCCATGGACCGCTAGTTTACAGTAACATCGGTGAAAATTGTGTGAATTTAAATGGCATTCTTATTTCATCTCATTCCTTGCGCGTACAACTTCCGTTTACCACGTTCATGAGGGTCTGTATAACCTTTGTATTGATTATGTATATGTTACATTGATAGAGCAAAACTTATAATTAAACTTACACAATGCTACGATATATTTCTTTGGGTTAAATAATAGTTTTATGTATTAAAATTCATCCCGTTATATCACTGTGTATGTTTTCACTAAATCACCAGCAGATCGCCGGGAAACATGTGCACAGCTGATTGCTATTTCCGGCGCTATATACGAGACAAATACATATGGTAATCTTAATCCCTGCAAATAATGCAATGCCCAGCAAAAACAAATTAGAGCTTAAAAGGTAAATAATCTTGTCTAGTGATCTTTACTTGCTAATTTGACGTTTTTACTGACAAGTTGTCGTCTCTTGTTTGTTTGTGCACGCATAGCGATACGATGTTGATTTCTTGCCCCTGGAAAAAAGTTTGACGAAAGCGTAACTCAAAGATAAGCCGACCCCCTTCTACAGACTGCTTTTTTTCATCCTCAAAATTCGGCTTATCTAAGATAATATACAGTAGTTACGTACACGTGTCTGTTTTTTCATCCATCTGTCATGACCACTGTCCACATGAACACCGAGTCAGCCCAGGCTCTGAAGTAATTATCTGAACAGAACACTACATCATTCCAGTACTGTACAGCACCCCCATACTGACTGACTGACTGAGTTTCGTTTTACGCTGCTTTTAGCAATATTCCTGCAATATCCCGGCGGGGGACACCAGAAATGGGCTTCACACATTGTACCCATGTGGGGATTTGAACCCGGGTCTTCGGCGTGACAAGCCAACGCTTTAACCACTAGACTACCCCACCACCCCCACACCCCCATACTACCAGCAAGGACCTGTATATTTCTTGATGAGTCTGGGTAAAACCCTGAAATTATATGTAATCAACCAGGTTCTCCTTCTATTATATTAATAAAAATGATAATCACTAGGGCTGTGCAATATTACCGGTACAGTATCTCGCGATACGATTATCGCGATATTCAGATTCTGCAATATATTGGGTCATCCAGAGTTAGCTCCCTCTGAATTATCTGCCCTTGATTTCCATGGCACAAAATGTGCTCTAAAGAGCAGCTTTTATTTCTGTTGGTTTCATGTAACATTTTGCAAGTGGAAGTGACATTATAAGTGGCTCCAAAAGTGGCATATATTCTACCAACTGCTTTATGTTTTGTGGGTTTGAATGGTTTCACTTTGAGGAGTTAAGTGGCCTCAAATAGACCATTTGTGTATTTGGACTTATTAGTAGAGCCTCTGACTCTCAGTGACCATTTCACAGTTCACACTATTTTGTTATTTTTGTTTGTTTCATAATGCGGCATATATCAGTTTATCATAAAGGTCTAAGTCTCGTAAATTTGGTAGGACTGTCTCATGACATTCTTGTCAAGGATCTTAGTTATTGGATTTTAATCTCAAGTACTTAAACCAAATCATGCTTTTGTTTCATTTTGCAATAGTTCATGTTAACACATGTTTATATTGGAGTTGAATCTGAATGAATCACTGACATACAGTAACAATAATTACATACTGCATTGAAGTGCATTCTGTTGAAGCAAACAACACTGACCATGAAAATCATGTTATATCATCACCTTTATCATTATGTTCGCAAAACTTTGTTGCAATACTTTGATTAAAAGTTCCAAATTACAGCTGTATATAATTTTATTTGTCTGTAAACCACTGGCACACAACCATACACAGTGGGGACGGGGAGCTGAAAGTATGGCGTACCAACAACTAAGAAGATGATGTCACACACAGAGAGCTGTTATGAATTTGTTATGTACGCACTTGGGCAGAAATCTTCCAGTCAATATATCACACGGTGCATTGCAATATCTCTTAAATTATTGCAATATATCGCAATATGAAAATCAGGGCAATATTCAGCCCTAATACTCACAGACAACCGTGATTTAAATATTTGAAATACGAACTTGCAGAGGTAGAGATATGCTGTGTACCGTCGTAAATTACGCAAATATTTATGTGAAAACTCAATTCCTATTCAGTCTATTGCATACAAGTACGCTTGAGGTTTTGTAAATACTCAATAAATTCGTACAAACCTGTAGAGGTTACTGATGCTTTGAAGAAAGTCCTCCTTGGGGTACATATTAACATTAAAATGTCCATTTAAAAACCTACAACAGTTGTAACTATATTTTATTAAAATTATTTACATAACAAAAAACACATTTTTGTCTTATGAGACCACCCCTACGAGGCCCCTCAGGGCCCCCTACAGCCAAAAGCAGGTAACTCTAGCCATCTACCTCACACCTCACTTTTCATGCTGAACAAATCAGACAGAATGAGGGGAGGCGAGTGGCCGTATCCCAAGGAGGACTTTCTTCAAAGAATCAGTAACCTCTACAGAAGAAGTCCTCCTTGGGGTACATATAAGCATAAGACAGACTCAGAAAGATAACTGAGTCGGGAGTGGTTCTCTTTCTGACGAAACAAAATTCTACAATCAAGCGGAGATAGAAAAATTACCTAGCAACCTTACTTACCTAGCCACCTGACCGTTAATGTCATGCCCATATGCTGTTTGGCTGACGGTGATGTATCAAAACAACCCCCCCCCCCCCCCCAACTATGGGGGCTCGACGAATCAAACCACTATCAGGAACACCAAGCCAGCAAAGGTGGTGAAGTGGAAAGCTTGAGTATAGTACGAGACACCGAAATACCACTGTAGAGAGGAAATAAAAAACATCACCAAATACCGCTACCGACAAAAGGAAAAGGACAAAAAAAAAACCAGAGGAATGTACAGTATGTAATCTTGAGAGCTCAATCGTCTAGAGAGGCACAACTCTGTACACTGTGGAGAACTGTCTGGCCAAACCGAGCATGCTCACGTGAGTGTTTGTTCAGCTGGTAATGATGAATGAACATGCTTGGTCAGCTCCATATAGTCGAGGAGCAGATCTCCTCTAGCCTTGGAGGCGGCTACTGCTCTAACCGAATGAGCTTTCAACCCATCGATGTGTGTGTGTGTGTGTGTGTGTGTGTGTGCGAGCATGTAAAGGCCTTTGTTAATGTAATCCATACATATGGCAGACACAAGCCACATAGAAATGGTCTGCTTGTTCACCGGAGGGCCAGCCTTACCACCCCCGTAACAGCAGAACAGCTGATTATCCTTATGAATTGACGCTGTCCGTCTGATATAAGCCTTAAGCGTCTTACCGACATCTAAGATGTGAGCACATCAAAGAGAGGTACGGGTTGATGGAGGCTGTGTGAAAGCAGGGAGCTCGATATGCGCTGTTATCTGAAAGGAGCCTGCGATCTTAGGATGGTAAGAATCTGGCAAGCGAATGCCGACAGAGCCGACAGATCGAAACAGAGAGGACCGGACATCCAATCAAGAACGATTGAGAAGTGGTGCGGCTAGACCGGCTTCTAACGGAGACTGTAAAAGCTCCAACACTTCAACTAAAGTCGAAAAAAAGGGATCAAGAATCCCTCTATTTCCACACCAGCATACATAACAGACCCATCTATCCTCGTACTGAACGTTCATCAAATCCTTCCGTGAAGCCAGAATTGTGTCTACAACTGGTGCAGGAATTCTGCTTTTGCAGACAGTGGCCAAGCCACCCACTGAATCCTGGGATTGTGGTGTTCACGCTGTTCTGGGATAGTAAGTCCGGTCGAAAGGGTAATAGGACAGAAGGCTGAGCCAGAAACCTCAGAACTACTGGAAACCAGCGTTCAGACGACCAAAGAGGTATAAGGAACACTAACAGTCGAGCTGGTTGGGTGGTTAGCTGTGATAGGACCCTGGAGATCAGAGGTATCGTGGGAAGGCCCACAGAACTCTGTCCGTCCAATCGAGCTGGAAGGCAAACAGATCCACCTGGAACGACCCGAACAACTGGGAGATAATCCCGAATATCTCCCAGTTGAGTAACCACACCTAAGGGTCTAGAATACATTATGAGAGCGTGTCTGCACAGACGTTGTCTACCCCCGGGTGATAAACAGGCATCAGCTGTATGTCGAACTGATTGCACCACAGCAGAAACTGCCACTCCTCCTGAAGGAACGACGGAAACATTGTATCACCCTGCTTCAGGATATAAGTCATCGCCGTCTGGTTGTCCATCTCTAAAAGAGCCACTCGGTGCCAAACCCCCTCATTGCGTGCGAATACCAACCATACTGCTCGCAATTCCAGCACATTGATGTGCAGGGTCGCCTCGTTCTTGAACCAAAGTCTCGAAGCTGTGAGGTCTCCCTGAACACTACCCCAGCCTGTGAGGGAGGCATCCATCTGAATTATGAACGTTGGCACCGGGGTCACCAGCGGAATTCCCCTAAAAAGATTCCCGTTGGCGGGCCACCACTGCAAATGAGGAATGAGCCACCCCGGAGTTACCAGAAGCCTTTCGTAACTCTCCAAGTGAGACCACAGCTGCGCTAACACCTGCTGAATAGGTCGCATCCTCAGACACTCATGCCAAACTATGTCCAAAGTCACCACCATGTTGCCTAGCAACTGGAGCCATGTCTGCGCTGAAGCCCTGGGGGACTTAAGGAATTGTCAAACAACCCTCTGGACTTTGGATATGCGGTCTCGAGACAGGGAGACTATGCCCCGTTGTGTCTTGAATCCCGCCCCCAAGAAAACCAGATCCAGTGTTGGTACCAGCTCTGATTTCTTGAGGTTTATAATCCAACCCAAATTGGTGAGAGAATCCATCACGGCATGGGTGGATTCCCGACTCGAGTGGGATGCGAGCTTTCTGAGGAGCCGTCGTCCAGGTACGGGTAACAAAAGTTGCCCTGTGCCCTGGCGACCTGAGCTGGAACGAGCACGAGTTTGGTGAACACCCTTGGAGCCATGGAAATGCTGAAGGGGAGTACACGAAACTGATAGCACTTTCCATTGAAGGAAAACCTGAGGTATTTCCTGAACTCAGGGTGCATCGGGACATGGAGGTATGCGTCTTAATTGATGTGAGCTAATCCCCTGCCTCTACACATGACATCAATGAGCGCAGTGTCTCCATCTTGAAAGACGGCATCTCTATCATGTCATTCAGCACATTGAGAATGGGTCTGAACACTCCGTCCTTCTTGGTAACCAGGAAATATGTGGAGTGAAACCCCAGATTTTCCTGGCCGAATTGAACCACCTCGATGGCTGCCTTGTCCAGCAACGACTGGACCTCAGCACAGAGCGTATCTGCCTTCTTCAGGGAGCTCGCTACCGGAGTGCGACGAAACCCTGGAGAGGGGAGGGAACCTCGCTTCCACTGTGGCAAATGGCCATCCCTGAGCGCGGACATGACCCATGGATTTCAGTTGACTTTCTCCCACTCCTGAAGGAAGAGAGAAAGTCGTCCGCCGTCAGAGATGTTGGGTAAAAGGCAGTATATCCCGAGGAATATTTACTGGGAAGCCGGGGCTGACTTCCCTTTCCTCAGAAAAGGCTGCTGGGAGGGAGCAGCCTTACCCTTGCCCTTACCTTTGCCCTTGCTTTTGCGTGCCTGAAGATGAGCAGTCCACTTAGCCGGCTCCTTCCCAGAGGTGGAAGGGTATGCATTAGCAAGGACCGGGGACCGAGCACGTGGAGGGGGGTTGCTCAAGCAAGGAAGCAAGGGCTTATAGTCCTTAAATTGGCTAACCCCCTCTGTGGTCTCCCGAAACAACGTTGACGCCCCCGGGAAAAGGGTTAGGCCCATCCTGAAGGGGAGTGACAGCAGCATCTGCTGTGTTGCCGGTGAATACCGAGCGACCGACAGGCAAAGCTGATGGAGGCCCATAACCGCAATCATCATCTGGCTTGCACACGACCGTATGGCGTCGCGGGCCAGATGTGAGTGCACCTCCGTCAACTGCCTCACAAGCGTGGGCGATGACACAGCATAGTCCACACCACCCTAGTCTCACCAGGTAGGGTGAGTGGACAATAATCTTAAGTTGTTGAACAGCGTTACGGTACTGCTCCTCGAAGGAGTGGCAAGCCAATTTCAACACCTGGTTATATCAGGTGAAAGGGGGCAAGTGTCGGCCCTGCTTGGGAATGACCAGACGACCAAGGGCAACTGAGGCGTAAACACACTGGTCAACCACAAAGGGGTGGGGGTGGGGGGTGAGGGAGGGAGTATAACCCCGCCAATGTCTGATAAGCCCACTTTATAAACAAGATGGTTAAGTAAAAGATTCCCTGTTCAAATATTCTCTGGAACATTAAACAGCAAGCCTGACCACCGATCCCTTTAGCAGGGTTTTACCTTGAGTCCTGTATTTGAGGATCCCTGGGGAATTTTCAGGGGTCCTGGACAACAAAATGGGGGTCCCAGACACTTAAATATTATTACTAATACTGTTATTGTATTGTTTATCATGATCATCACATTAATTATTACAGTAATGAAATAGCATATGATACCATAACCTAGCTAGTAGCAAACTCAGTGGTTACTTATTGTTACTTGATTGGAATATTTACAAATGTATTTGGACTTTGTCTGCGTCCCTGTTGATGCGCTAATAACTTTATCACCAAATAAACCATGCCTAGTTCCTTTCAGTTCAATTAATTTATTGAATCATGATGTCATTTTGTTTATTTAGCATGTTACATGTTCTGCAGAGAACAACAAATAGACAATTTTTTTGGGCAGCTGTCCCCGGATGTTTAGCATGGGTAGTATTTGCTTTAGGTTATGACTGAAACCATCCAGTCATAAAGGGCCCAGAATCAAGATAGTTGAATATCAAGAATATGATGCAAAGTCAAATGCTATAATCAGTGACCATAATTTGAAATAAAGACTCACATACTTTCTTCATGTCAATCATGTCGCCAGCTCTCAGATGGTTGATGTAGCTAGCTAATCAGTTAATTCGACCGGGTCAGAATCAACAAACACTAAAGATAATTTCAAAAAAGTATTCTAAATATGTACAAAAATGAAAATATCACATGGATCAAAAGGTAGTTAAAGGTGGTAAAAGGGCTGATGAAATGGCAAGTGTTGTGTATCATCATGATCATGTTTATTCTTATAGGTCATCAATTGACATGTTTCTATGCCACTATTTCCCTTTCATCTTGATGATTCATATATATTCTCTAATATTCTTTATACTAATCTGAAGAATTCGATTCTACCAAAAATGAGTTATTTGTTTACACACCAGCAATTCCTTGATTCTACCTATGGTGAACCCGGGCAAAAGTGAAAGTAAACGTTATCAGGGTGCTTCGCATTGAACAATATGTGCACACAGAACACTGCCAACATAACTGATGAGGTTGCTCATACAACATCCTTATACATGTTTTTTTAGCTGGGAATGTGCGTGACTGCAATCAACACTAACAGTCATCATTAAGCAGACTCCGTGATGCGGATCACGTCGCCCTCACTCAAGGAGTTTACTTCGACACTGACGTTGTCATTTTAGTCCGCTGCTTTTTTTTTACAATGAATGGCAATAAAGACCCCCTCAATCCGCAGACACTCCAAAACAGTGTCTGCGGATCTTAAGAGAGAAGGTGTCTTACCAATACCGGTCTATGAGCGTACTTGCCGAACACAAACTTCGTGGGATGAGATCTAATATACCGGAAACGGAATTGAGGCTCCTACTAAAACTGGAACACGTTTTCTTAAACGGATAACCAACAACCACACGTGTGTTGCGACCAGAACTGGGATACGACCAGAACTGGGATAAACGGTCCACAATTTCGTACAACACACGTGCGATAAACTCCATAATAAACTCTACATATTGTATGCAAATATATGGTTACTTCTTAAATCGTTAACGAGAACAAAACAACCTTCACTACTTTCATATGTGTTTACAATACTATTTGCATCTATTTGTTTACAATCTATAAACGTCATTTTATAGAATATTCACACAATTATTTTGTGAGTAATTTCACATCATCATAGTCATCATCTTTAGTAGTGGTGCTGGTGTCAGCTTCTGTCACCTTACTCCACGCAAAATACACGCTCGAAGCGCACAGTTAATTTTGAGAGGCGACCAGTAGTAGCTATGTATTGGTTTGAGGCGAGATAATCGACCGTTCCTAAATTATGGCCAAGGGGAGTGATGATGATTTTTATGGAGAAGCATGAACAATGGACACACACAGATAAAAATATGTACAAAGTAAGTGCCCCTTGTGTGCTATACACACTTCCCACACACCCCGTCCCTTTATATAATCATCAACACTCCCACTAGCCAGAAATTATGTAAGGTCCCTAAGTTCTGGTGCCCCCTGCCGTGTTATTGTTTGCTCATTCGCTCGCTCACTCACTCACTCAACAGGGGGCACCATGTGGGGAATCGAACCATGCAGGCTCTTTCGTAATAGAGTGAATTAATTCGTTATTTTAATCAACACGATGCTTGAACAATATCCAGTGACATTTATCCCACATTTGGACGTCCATATAATGCCCATATAGCATGTTTTCTACAAGTGAGTAGGTGAGCGAGTTTAGTTTTACGCCGCACTCAGCAATATTCCAGCTATATGGCGGCATTCTGTAAATAATCGAGTCTGGACCAGACAATCCAGTGATCAACAGCATGAGCATTGATCTGCGCAATTGGGAACCGATGACATGTGTCAACCAAGTCAGCGAGCCTGACCACCCGATCCCGTTAGTCGCCTCTTACGACAACCGTTTGTTACTGAAGATCAATATTCTAACCCAGATCTTCATGAGTAGTTTGGTAGAATATGTTTAGAGGGATTGTTACTGTTTCTTTTTTAGCAATGTGATTTTAAGTAGAAATAGATTGACCATTTCCAATTATCTTTGTTTTACAAATAATTTGTTTTGCACTACTATCTTTTCATATACGCAATTCTTATCATTTGTTTCGCTTATGTGCTATTTCGTTTTATTTCGTTATAATTTTGTATATACCTTTGATCGCTGTGTTGTTACATTAATTTTGATTGGTCAAAAGTTTGATAAACCTTTTTCATTGGATGTTTACGGAACTAGGTCAGTGCGACAACAATGGCCGAAATTTAGTCTGTTTGGGATCTCGTTGCACTATTTGTAGCATAATTTAAGGGAAGGGTTGAACGTTTTTGACGCGTTAATCATGGCAGAAGTCGAAGAAGCTCCCAAAGTTCCTGCCGAAACACATGGACCTATTCTATCTGCTGAAGATCGTCTGCAACTTGCAGATTTTGACAGGTAAACGTGTGACCTCGTTGAGTTGATTCCCTTGGTCCCACAAATGGAAACGCAGTAGGTTTTGTGCAACAGTACGCTTTTGACAGTAGTTGCAGAAAATGTCTTATACTATACAAGGGTATGTTGAATGTGTTGTGTGCTTTTCCGAACAAGGAATGCATTGTCAGAGGTCCACATACCAAATCCTCATCGGTCAAAAAGCAGCTGGAAAATTAGTAAAAGATGGGAATGATACGTGAAGATCTCTTATGTGGTGTAGATACACCTCAGTCCTGCATACGTGAAGATCTCTTATGTGGTGTGGATACACCTCAGTCCTACATACGTGAAGATCTCTTATGTGGTGTAGATACACCTCAGTCCTGCAATAGACTCCTCATATCTTGACTTTGTAGCTGGGTAAAGCTGAAGTTGACAGGACAGCATAGCTCAGTTTATATGCATTGGTATTGACATGTTATCAAATGTCTCAAAGAATTTGTCCAAATTTGGAAATGGTTTAGGAGAATCATGATAGTGAAAGTCCCAGCTGGTGTATTTAGCCACAAGTGTGAACCCAGAGTCTAGTTAAATTCTGCTCATGCTTGCTAGCTCAGATGATAATTATGATAATAGGCTATACGATCACATTAAACTCTACTGAAGTTAATGCTATACTCCGACTGCTGCCTTTTGGTCACATGTCTGTGTGATCTTTAGGGTTAGTTGTGTAAGAATTACTATAGGTTATGCTTAACTCTCATCTTAGTCTCGCATGTACTTTCTTTTTTTTCTTCTGTGGTGTGTGGCGTAAAACTAAACTCACTCACTCACTCACTTTCTTTTTTTTGATCATTATAGTGAGCATTCTGTGATCCTCAGTATTAGTTGGTATTAGAGTTAGCTGTCTAGCTTTTATTTTGATCTGATTAATGAATCTGTCCTGTGTTATATGAGGTGTATGTCTAATACAATGATGAAGTTTCAAATCTTATGGAAAATCTGACTACTGCATATGCGCATGATATAGGAAGGGTAATTAGAAATATCATCAATAAGAATATTATCAATGATTATTGCTATGAATATTATGTCATAGCTAATATTATACAGTATTTCCACTGACTTAATTATTTATCAGACACTGTGTCCGGCGACCTAAAATTTTACTGGTCATGAATGAAATTTGCCGGTCATATCCTATAACATTCACCCCTCATGTTATCGAAAATAGCACATCAACAAATCTGCTGTTGAGCTCTGGTTAATCACGTTGTAAACTAGTGAAATTCAGTGCGGATTGCAATTAGCAGTGTTTATAGTACATACCCATGGTTTTTCAGATGCATAAAACATGCAGGGTTTTCGCAATAATATTCAGACGAATAACGAAACACCGCAAAAACTTATAAAAGACAAATTTATCATAAAGACATGCCATCAGCCAAGTACTTACAATGTTTGCTGTGATGCAACACACCGCGGTTATAGCGCGGGTAAACACCGCCATCTGAGAATGTATGATAGCAGAAAACACAGTTTATTTCATTAAATTCAATCCCATTGTCATTCATTAAAACTGTTTACAGTAACAACGGAAAAACCGTGAGTGAAATGGCAGTCCATCGTTCCATACGTGTACAACTTCCGCTTATCACATTCGTGAGGGTCCGTTTTTCGCGCCTACCGCGGTAGCACCAATTTCACTTTATTCTCAGCAATCACGAATAGATTGCAGCCTTGTAATCAATGGACCACAAGACCTGCGTTACTGATTCATTGAAGTCATATTTGACAATTAATTGCCAACATTTTGTTTTTTACAATCAAAGTGGCATGTATACCGCGGGAAGTCAGAGTGACTTGTCAAACTGTGTCCTACGTAAAATGTATCCATCCAGGTAACCCAAAGTGTGCAGCCTAATATGTTATTTATCATGTTAAATATGTTTGTAGAACACATGCATTGTACTAATACGATAGCAATATATAATATCTCTGTTAAAATAACTGCTTAAGATATAAATTATTCTGATAATGGAATAGAAATTCTTTGATGTTATGTTATCAGATCGTTTTTAACTGAATCACTGGTACATATATTGGACCAAAACATTGGTACACAGCTGATCGCTATTTCCGACTTAGTTGAATAACAGGTAGCATAACAGGAACAACAATTGAATTATCATGTCTAGTGATGTTTGATTGCAAGTTTGACGTACATACTTCTATTTTCATTTACAAAGTTTGTTTTTTCACCTCCTACAATATATTTTTGACTGGGCACAATACACGAAATAGTAACAGTTTTGTTATGGCCATGGAAAATACGATTTTACTTAATTTGTCCTGCATTATGTAATAGTTACTATAACAAGCGTGATCATTCATGAACCCTAAGACCCACGTTATGGCGAGGGATGACTGAAATTTGAGAGCGTCGTCTGCCTTCGAGCCATTTTGACATGTGGTTAGACAATCAGAAAAACTTCGTCTTTCTCTGGTTCATTATGTGCTGAGCTATAATTTGAGGTAATGATCATCGAACTGAAAATTCCGAATGACTGATTATGTTGACCAATCACAAGGTGTCGGATCGACTGTCATTTTAAAGTTATTTTTAGCCTGGGTATTTCTGAAACATAATAATTTTTGCGACCATGAAATCACAGCCAAGACTGTCATTTCGCTTACCCATGATTTTTTTTATTTTGATTGATGATTATTTACCGGACACACTGTCCAGCTGGCTTTCAATTTACCGGCCCCCAGCAAATTTTACAGGCGATTTCCAGGTATATACTGTAGAACGGAAACACTGTTGTAATGAACTTTTGTGATAAAATAATGTTCTTTTTAACTCCTGCAAAAACCTTAGTAAAGTCTTTATTCGTGGGCTGCTTCTAAATTATGTTCAGGACACGTGTTTTTCCCTAATCTATGCAAAAAGATGTCCCCACTCACCAGTGATGTGAAATATACTCATTCCTTTTTAACTTTTGTGGCGTTACTTCTCTAATATATATTGATAATCAATAAATATTTGGTTTACAATTATCAATCTCTATCATCTATATTGATAACCAGCCCTAATCGTATCCCAACAGCGTGGATCATTGCTCACAGTATTAATCACACATTTCTCTGGTCCAGACTTAGCAAGATGCATGCCGCTATCATATGACTGGCGTAGAGTGGTGCAGTTACCATGGGAATTAGAGACAGAAACTCTATGTTTTTACAAGGCCTGTTCTGTTATCATGATCATGTTAATGCTCTTTAAATTTTAATTTAATTTTCAGCCGTCAGTTTGGATTTGTCAAGCTTGATGCTACTGATGGAACTGCAAAGAAAGGCTTGTTGGAGAAGGTATGAAATATGAAACTTTTGAAGCAGTCTTTTTGCTCTTACTATCACTTCAGTGTTGACCTGGGGCGGTGGGGTAGCCTAGTGGTTAAAGCATTGGCTCGTCACGCCGAAGGCCCGGGTTCGATTCCCCACATGGGCACAATGTGTTAAGCCCATTTCTGGTGTCCCCCACCGTGATATTGCTGGAATATTGCTAAAAGCGGCGTAAAACTAAACTCAGTCAGTCAGTCACTGTTGACCTGTGAAGATCCGGGTTAGAATGGGTCTTGAGTAACCCATGCATATCATAAGATGCGACTAACGGGATCAGGTGGTCAGGCTCGCTGACTTGGTTGACACATGTAATCGTATCCCACTCATGCTGTTGATCACTGGATTGTGTGGTCCACATGATTATTTACAGAATGCTGCCATGCAAATAAACCAAATTTGGTGGGAAAAGTTGTTCTCTCAGAGTGAGTGAGTATGGTTTAATCTGCTTTTACTTTTAGCAATATTCAAGCAATATCACGGCGGGGTACACCTGAAATGGGCTTCACACACTGTACCCATTTGGGGAATTGTCCCCGGGTCTTTGATGTGACGAGCCAATACTTTAACCACTATAGGCTACCCCACCACCCCTTATTCTCTCAGAACTTCTGATCAGATAACATCTTGATGGTGAGGTGAGGTGAGGTGAAATTGGGTTTAACGTCGTTCTTGAGAATATCTCGCTCATATGACGGCGTGCATGCGTATGTATGTGTATGTGCGGCTGCTTGTACTAGCCCAGACTTAAGCTGGTTTTATAGTGCTAGCCCACTGAGATACCATGCCGCAGTGAAGCATGAATACCCCACTCAGACACATTATACTGACTCCGAGCCGACCAGTCCTTGTTGTACCCATTAATGCCGAGCGCCAGGCAGGGACCAACAAGTACCATATTTTAACGTCTTTTGGTATGACGCGGTCGGGGATCGAACCCGCGACCTTCCGCTCTCCGGGCGGACGCTCTAACCACTACACCACGGAGGTGGTCATAACATCTTGATGATGATGAATGAATGAATGTCTGATCAAGATATTAATTAGTATTTTAAGTAAAACACCTGTCTCACTGGGGCTCCATTTCAGTCTAAATGGAATTATTTGTTACTGTCAAAATTATATATTGTAAGCGTTAGTCTGGCAATGAACCCAAAGTGGAGTATACAAATAGTATAAGTATCTAAATTCTGAATTGCACAAAACCGGATAGATATGCCATCTCCTGATGTCCCTTGATGACAGTTTACATGTGTTTATTTAGTGTTGGGAATTGGTTAATATCACATAATCGACTACTGTTTCTTTCAAACCATTCAGTCATCAAAAGTAATTGGTTAGTGTCATTTATCAAATTTTCTTTAATGCACATAAAACAAACCCATGTAGTTCTTTGTATTTATTTCAAATTGCTAAAAATGGATTTGCAAATTTCACATCCGACTTGCAGCTTGCATCTTTAGATGATGGCTGATATGTTAGGCACATTAACCTTCTCGGTTAAAGCGTTTGATTGTCACGATGAAGACCTGGGTTCGATTCGCCAAATGGGTACAATGTGTGAAGCCCATTTCTGGTGTCCCCCACAGTGATATTGCTGGAATATTGCTGAAAGAGGACTCACTCACTCACTCACTCACTCACTCACTCACTCACTCACTCACTCACTCACTCACTCACTCACTCACTCACTCACTCACTCACTCACTCACTCACTCACTCACTCACTCACTCACTCACTCACTCACTCACTCACTCACTCACTCACTCACTCACTCACTCACTCACTCACTCACTCACTCACTCACTCACTCACTCACTCACTCACTCACTCTCACTCACTCACTCACTCACTCACTCACTCACTCACTCACTCACTCACTCACTCACTCACTCACTCACTCACTCACTCACTCACTCACTCACTCACTCACTCACTCACTCACTCTTCAATCATGACGGGGATATATAGCGTCCGTCCTTAAACTTTGTCCGGAGCATATCTCTTAAAGTTTACGTGCTAGGTTCACCAAACTTCGCACACATGTTAATCATTACCCATTGATGTGCCTTTTGCTGTTGCAAAGTTTTTTCAGAATTTAGTTTTTTTGCTGTTTCCATGGAAACATGAATAGTGCCAAATGTGTTCGATTATTTTTGTCCAGAGCATATCTCTTAAAGTTTACATGCTAGGTTCACCAAACACAAAAAATCTAGTTTCCATAAATTAATACCGTAATCAGTACATGCCAAAACTATTATCTAACATGTATATAACGTTTAGTAGAGTCAAAGAGAAAGTCTTGTGAGCTGCTGATCCTTGTCACATTATATATATCAATATCAGTCATTTCCATGTCTCAAAGTGGGAAGCGGGGGTATGTGAGCTTTGCTCACTTCTACACTTGTTTCTTTGTAAAATGTTTCAGGGTGTGAGCCACTACCACAACCTGCTGCGTGTCCATGCTAAACAGTCGAGCCTGGCCAGTAGTGGTAGTGAGGGTCAAGAGAAAGTCAAGCCGATTGAATCTGGGGTTTTCTGCCATCTTGGTCACCTGCACCTCCTGCTGGAGCAGTATCCGAAAGGTGATTAATTTTCCTATTGCGATATATTGTGATGCAAAAGCATATATTGCGATATGTATTGCAATAATTTTTCCTTATCCTGACTCATGTATTTTTGCTTGTCGACTTCCCTTCGCGTAGGTTAGTGGAACACTTGTATCTCCTTTTTGAAGCTCCCTTTCAAAAGAGCAGACGTAAAATCACTACTTACCATGAGTTATGTCCCTCTGGTTTTGGCGGGAAAACAGCGCCACCTGTCTTCCCACACTTCACTCTCTCCTTCTTCGCCCTAGTGGACGGTTGGGAGAGCACCTGTGTCTCCAATACGGCACTATAGCCTTTAAATAATTAGTTATTACCCTATAAATTACCTTTATAAGGGTTTAGGGAGTATCCTTCAACAATATGGTTTGAAATTTCCGGTAATTTCACTGTTTATTCACGGTTTTGTACGTGATTGTCCAGCTGTTTACATTTCATGAAACCTGTTTTCGTTGTAGGCCTAGGTTCTCTGCTGCAGACCCGCATTTATTGTGCCCTAGCTGCACAACAACATGTACTTCCAGCTCTCGCTGTAAACTTTGTCAGCATTTAACACAAATTCAAGTTAATAATTATTATTTCTCTGTACTTAGCCGACTTTTACAAGCCATGGATAATCCGTCTGAGTCCCTCAAGAGCTGTCTATCCTTGTCAGACGACATACTTCCATCCAGTGACCTGCCGGAGGCATCCTTGGAGGATGGGCATGGGATGTTGTCCGCCATTACTTCAAAGAACAGGGCATCTACATCGGACAACCCTCAACCCAGACGAAGAAGAAGAGGCCATCTTCAACGCAGAAGAAGCCTTACACCCCTAAGACGTCTAGCAGCTCTACGGGGAGTTCTTTGCAGACTACGAGGACCTTTTCGTCTGAGATCGTCCCGATGGAAGAGAGAGGACTTTCGCAGTCTGAGTTACCGTCTACACGGGCGGCAGATGAGCGATCCTTGGACCATATCTCTACCAGCGCAGATAGGATATCTCTACAATCGTCGCAGACGTTCAACCCCGGAACCTTTATGCAGAGATATGTCATAAGAAGAAGATGCAGAAGGACCCCGCACCGGTGGTGCATCTGAGATGTCTACGAAAGGATCTAGCTCTAGGACTAAGAGCAGACCCGCCCTACACGACGCCAACAAGCCTGCATAAAGGAATGGAAGTTCACCGGACCGAAGTAGATCGTCATCTGATGATGAGACTATGAAGGACCTTCACGCACGCTACCTGCAACGCAGAGGAAGAAACTTACACCTCCAAGAAGGTGCAGAGAGACGTCTCAGGACCCAGACAGAACCTCTCACTTGAGCGCAGGTCTTCAGGAAGATCATCTAGAACGTCAACATCTCCACACAGGTCTTCACGGAAGTCACCAATGAAGGACCTGCAAACTGCACGACTTGGAAGAGCCTTCACAAAGGAGAAATAGACGTTCCCCGGACTTAATTAGACGTCATAAAGCAGACCTACGCTACATGACATCAGCAGCCTGCGTGCACAGGACGGCGCAATCTTCAGAACTAATGAGATCATCAGCAGATGATGAGGCTAATAAAGGACCTTCACGCAGGCTACCTACATCACCTAGAAGGACTAGAGAGACGTTTCGGGACCAATACCCTCAACAAAATTTCTCACCTGGGCGAAGGTCATCTGAATTATCTTCAAGGGTGTCAACAACACCTCGCAGATCATCATAGGATTCACCACTTAGGAATACATTGCCAGGAAGGCAATCCCGGCCTAGAAGTCACCAACCTACACGCAGATCGCCATACAGACGCACCACGCAGATTGCCACGCAGATCGCTACGCAGATCTCCAAAGGTATTCAACCATCATATACCAGTGGACATGATGCAGAGGACGATGGCGGTATCATCATTTCGGACTGGACCTATCATCACCCTACAAGGAAAAGATCTTCGCCGGCGCAAAGACTGAGGGACATGTGTTGCAGTTCAAGAGGGGTACTCTTGTCCGAAATCATCACCTGCGCAGACCTTCAGACTGAATCCAGGACCGGATTCACATCGTTCAGAAAATTTAGATAGATTTATCTACATCAGAAGATAATAACGGGACTCATGGCCATATAGAGATCTTCACTTCCGTACAGATCTGCAGGGATTCACAGTGGCGTGGTTCAGCAGCTGCCTTGCTAAGGCTAGGAAACTACAAAATCATCAACAATTCCCTGTGCAGAATTTACAGCAAAGTTCAGCATCAACTCTACAATTACGACGCTTCATTGAGATCGATGAATGCAGTCTACAAGTAGCAGCACTGAGGAGGTGTACACTTCAGCTGATCATCTGTATAAGAGGACGACTGCATTATCTTCAGGACTGAAGTAACAGTCACAGCAGCCAGGAAAACAGCCTACCTACGTCGGTATTACGCGGCGAAATTTTTCGCGTGTTTACCATTCAACCCTCTATACACGTGGTCACTCGTGCAACTCTGGAAGGCTACGGACATACCTTTTTCCTGCTACACCGGTGACATCACATCGCGGAAAGCTAAAGGAATCAAAATGCTTCATTTTGATTGGACCATGAGAGACGCCCTGCGCAGAAGTCGGACGCAGTTCACATGTCAGGAAATGGGTTACAAGTGACAACACCCTGTCAACGAGAGAGGAAGGCCTCAATTACAGTCCAGTAAGACAGGACCTATGTGATTTGGCTGCCTTCACGGAGCTAGAGACCTTCCCTGTCAGCACTGAAGACGATTCATCAGGCGAATTGCAGCAACATACGTTGGACGGACCTTTGGTGACAGCAGCCAGACTACTTTATATAGACTTCACAACGATGGCAAGCACAGAGTTGGACATCGCTTCATTTCCCTTACGGGCACGGCAAGGGTTTCACGATCGTTTGATCAAGATACAAGCCATTGTATCTCAAGCACTACTCTTTCCGTTATTACTACGAAGTGGCAGAGTCTGTTGGGTCTCCTCACATCAGCACAGGACATGACACGCAGAGGGAGTCTACAACTACGCCCACTACAGGTCTTCGTGAATGTACATCTGGACCATCCGGACCCCTTTGGACTCTCGGACAGACTAAAACCATATCTAATATGGTGGACTCAGAGATCGAATGGTTGCAGAGCCGGAGTGCAAGATGCATCTCTCCAAGGTTGGGGAGCACACCTCGACAACGTGTTAAGCCTATTTCTGGTGTCCCCCGCCATGATATTGCTGGAATATTGCTAAAAGCGGCGTAAAACTAAACTCAGTCAGTCAGTCACCTCGACAACGTAGTGTCAGCTGGGATATGGACCATAGAGGAGAAAAGATCTGCACATCAACATGCTGGAAATGAAAGCAGTGATAAATGCCATACTCCACTGGACCAGCATTTTGAAGAATGCTCATCTGACGGTACATACAGACAACTCCACAGTGGCGTTCTACATAAACAGACAAGAGTTAACAAAGTCGGCGAACCTTCTGGACCTCTGCTTTCAACTGTTCAGCATAACAGACAACCTGAACATCCACATAAGAGCATGCCACATTCCAGGAGCCAAGAATGTGATAGCAGACGCACTATCACGTCCAATGCAGCCGTCCCCAACAGAATGGATGCTACATCCAGAGATCTTCAAACAGATCATACAAGAGATGGGAGTGCCACTAATAGACCTCTTCGCCACAAGATTCAACAATCAACTGATAACATTCGTCTCGCCAATACAAGATCTGCAAGCATGGGCAATGGACGCTCTAAGCATCTCCTGGGAAGGACTAAACGTTTACGCGTTTCCACCACCAGCTCTAATACCGAAGGTGTTGCAGAAAATCAGTCAGACGAAGGACCTACAACTGATTTTGGTCCCGCCTTACTCGCCAGCAAGAATATGGTTCCCCATTCTCATACAAGAACTAGGATCGCCTCAACTGCAACTACCAGAGTGGACGAACTTGCTTGTACATCCACACACAAAGCGGGCGCACGGCAACCCAGAGGTGTTCCGGCTACACGTGTGGACTGTATCAAGGCGTGCTTGAACAAGAGAGGATATTCCGCCAGGGCAGCGAACGCGGTCAACGCTAGCTTTACGCAAGTCAACATGCAACTTGTACGACAACAAGTGGCAAAGCTTCGAGACATACGCCTGAGGACCGGCTTCACAGCCATAAAAGCGACACACCCTCAAGTGGCAGACTACCTTTGTCACCTAAGACAAACGAAGCGGTTAAAAGAGTCAACACTCTCAACATACCTAGCGGCATTGAGCTCAGTTATCACTATGAGGACGAGTGTAAAACTGACGAAAGGTACCAGAGTTACTGGCCTTACTACGCTCTTTTAGACTGGAGGACCAACAACAGAGATTTAAAGCTCCGGCGTGGGACCTCAACATAGTTCTACTACGTCTCACCAGTGACGTTTACGAACCATTAGATAGGACATCTTTTGAGTTCTTGACACAGAAGACGCTGTTCCTGATCGCCTTAGCAACAGCAGCAAGGATGTCGGAAATACATGCTCTGGACTTTGAGAGGACACGATTTGATGGAAATCAAAACATCGTGCATATGGGACTGAGATGGGACTTCATCGCAAAGAATCAACTGCCAGATCAACAGGACAGACAGTTCCACATCCCTGCACTATCATCAGTCCTTGGACCACAGGATACACAGGACCTATCCTGATGCCCAGTAAAAGCATTGAAAGTCCAACTTCAAAGATCTAGCACCAGAACAGTCTTTTCATCCCAATATCTACAGCGACACAGACAGAGATCTCCCACACTGCGATATCAATATGGATCAGAACTGTCATACTACAGGCCTACAAAGCAGCAGGACTTGATCCTCCAAGAGCCTCCAACCCACATGAAGTTAGAGCTCTTGCGTCAACACCCACTCTGCATGGGAATTGCTCTATCAGGAAGATAATGGAGGGCTGCTTCTGGAAATGGGACATGGTGTTTGCCAACCACTACCTGAGGGA